GTGTGTGTGTGCGTGTTCTGGGAGGGTCGCCTCCCTCAGAGTGTGTGTGTGCGTGTTCTGGGAGGGTTTGCTCTGTCTCGCTCCTGCATTTGGTTCGTCATCATCTCCCCCCAGTTCGCCAGCCCCTGCAGCCGCATGACTTGGGAGAATCCTCAGACTTACCTGCAGACCTGGGAGCTGCCAGCCTGTCAGCCTCCTTCACCAGCACGTGAGCCATTTCCTTGGGAATCTGTGAGCTCTGTGAGACGTTAGAGTGAACTACAGAACGCTGAGACAGGAGTGAGAGTGCTGAGGGGAGGAGGAGGAGCTGGCATCAGAGATGATGGAGCAGCGCAGCATTGGAAAAGTTGGACGCTTGGGGCGTCTTTAACCTCCACCTCATGGGGCCTGGCCTTGTGCCGATCTTTCTGAAAGAAGTTACTCATGCAAGCGTGTACGTAGCATAGAGGCTGTGTCAGGCAGGTTCGAGAATGTACACAGCTAGTGTGTATCGAGAGGGGCTCTCGAGTTGCCTGACTCTCGGGACCCATGTAAACAGAACAAAGCACCCCGGTCCTGTGTCTTGCGCATGACCACTGGCATTTCCAAGTCCTGTCTCCCTGCCTGTCCCCCTTGCCCTCTCCAGCCCTCACTTCACCAAACACAGTGATCCCCTCCAGTGGTTGATCCCTGTTGATGACTTGTCCAGTGCAAGCCAGTTGGACTCTGTTCTGTTGTGATCTGTCTTCATTGGCTGATTACACAAGTGGATCACCGGGCCTTCCTTCCTAACCTGTCTCAGTGTGGAAGCTCCGCCAAGATGGGCCCACCATGGGCGATCCTGCTGGTACCTGAAATACTGGGTGACAGCGCTCACATCATCCCACACGCGAGCCTCCATGGTGTGACACATGGACGGATAAGTGACGGGTATGTCCACTGTGGGTGACATAGCTTCCAGCATCCCAGCCACACCTGAGCCTCTACGGTGTAACACACAGACAGATGAGTGACGGGTATGTCCACCATGAGTGACGTAGCTTCCAGCATCCCAGCCACACGTGAGCTTCCACGGTATGACACATGGACAGATGAGTGACGGGTATGTTCACCGTGGGTGACATAGCTTCCAGCATCCCAGCCACACCTGAGCCTCCACGGTGTGACACACGGACAGATGAGTGACAGGTAAGTCCACCATGGTTGACGTAGCTTCCAGCATCCCAGCCACACGCGAGCCTCCACGGTGTGACACACGGACGGATGAGTGACGGGTATGTCCATCATGGGTGATATAGCTTCCAGCATCCCAGCCACACGTGAGCCTCTGTGGTGTGACACACGGACAGATGAGTGACGGGTATGTCCACCATGGGTGACATAGCTTCCAGCATCCCAGCCACACGTGAGCCTCCATGGTGTGACACATGGACAGATGAGTGACGGGTATGTGGTGTATTTAAAGCTTGTGAAAAGTACTGTGAGTTCTGTGTAGAAGTGCCCCTACAAGCCTCTCTGATGTGTGTCACAGGAGTGTAGATTCAGGGGAGTCCGGATGGAGTGGTGGGGTGAAACTTGGACTACAGTCAGGAGCAGCTCTGTCTTTGCTCCTCCCACCACCACCGCCACTGCCGCTGTGCTCTGGCTATGGCATTCTAGATGGTCCCACCTTCCCTCGGGGCTCTGCTTCCTGATCCTGAAAACTCTTTGACAGCAGAGAGAAAACTTGTCCTAGGGACCCTGTAGAAGGCAGATGACTGCTTGTACGTGAAGGACCCTTGAGATGCCAAGAGCTGCACAAATAGGACGAATTGTTGTGCGGTGCTGCTGGGTTGGTCCCAACTCACACCGCCCCATGCACACAGAGCTGAACACTGCCCGGCCCTGCACCGACCGCCCAGCCATTGTTAGCAGCAAAACCTGAGGCCCATGCACGTCCTTTTCAAGCCCGGAAACAAATTACTAGCCAGCAGTGACAACACATCCCTCCTCCTGGCTCCTCTGACCCTCCTCAGTGTTCAGCCGTCAGCGGCTCTTCTTTTTAATTGTAGTTTGGGTGAAAGTTGACAGAGTAAATTGGTTTGCATTCAGCAATTCATGCACATTTTGTTTTGTGATACTGATTGTAATCCCCACAGTGTAGCAGCTCTCTTCCTGCTTCCTGTGCTCACCCTTCGTCATCCTGGCCTGTCCCTTCCTGCTCTCTGAGCCAGTGCTGTCCTTTCCATCTCCTGTGGTGGATTGCCCAGAGGAGCACAGACCTCCCTGTGTCTGTCCGTTTTTGGCTGAGAGTTGAGCCACATAGGGAGTTCACTTCCAGGCCTGAAGGGTGACTAAGGGCCACGGTCTGCGGGTTCCTTCAGTCTCCCTCAGACAGTAAGCCTGGACTTTGTTATGGTGTTGAGATTTACCACTTCCACCTCCCAACCACCATGGGCTGTATGAGCTTGAGGCTCAAAAGCACAAGCTTTCTATTATTGAGTGGTGATGGGAGATGAATAACAAGACGGTTCTCACATGTGTGCGCCTGTAAGATGCTCTCTGTGCATGCATGTTGCGTTTGATTTTCGTTACCTGAGCGTCACATGCCAGTGTCAGAACTAAGGTGCTCGTAGCCTGTCCTGTGCTTTTCAGGGTTGCCTGCTCCCATCTCTCCTCGTACGTGTCCTTGGTTGGATCAAGTGCCTCGGAAGAAAGGCCTGGTGATCTCCTTCAGAGAGGGTCGCCATTGAAGACCCTGGAGCACAGTTCTACATGAGACTCAGGGTTCACCATGCGTCCTGTGCACGCCTCACATCCAGTTCTCGGGAAGCTGGATCGGATGCTGGGCTCAGTCATTGTGTGGAGCAGGCAGAGCAGTGTGCACCCCATCCCTGGTGTATTACGTGTGAAATTTTGCCGGCCTTAGTGAACCCCATTACTTCTCAGAGCAACAGCTCAGCTGCTGTGGATCACCAGGATTGTCACAGAAATGCAGCATGCTGTTGTGTATGTGTGTGTGTCTGTCTGTCTGTCAGAGTCCACAGTTCTATAAGAAGTGTGTTTTGTGTGTGAGGCCCTCTGTTGCATTGAATGATGTCCTGTTTTGGTAGCATTGGACATGGTGATTTGTGCCCGGGTTCTGAAGCTTTGTGTGGGACCAGCCTGTCTTGTAAATGTTGAATGCATTGCATTGCTCTGGAAGAAGATTTCTACTTCTCATAGATCTTATTCCATCAAGAGTGAGGGTTTGTTTGCATTCCCACAGTGCACAGTAGTTATCTGGGTGCCAGTCTCCTCCATCCTTGGTGTGTCCTTAGCTTCCCGTCCCTACCTTGCTGTTAGTTACTGCCAGGTCCATTCTGACTCATGGTGACCCACATGCACCATGGAGCTGCTCCATTGGGTTTCGAGACTGTGACCTCCCGTGCCCTGCCAGCCTCTCGTGGTGAGATCCCCGTCAAGCAGATGTCACTGTCCACTTGTTATGGAGTCTGTTTTTTGTATCAACAAAGACTTTCTCTTTGATTACAAAACCAGCACACGTCCCTTTGTACAGTGCTCAGAATAGTCTGATGAAAACCACAGGAAAGCAGGGCTGTCCACAGGGCCCCTGGCGCTACGTGCTCTTTACGCATTTCCCACTCTGCATTCCGTGTGATGGGTCAGAAGCACATGCTGGCTTGTGGTTGCTTTCTGATGGGTCAGTGGGCACACGCCGCCAGTGGTTGCCTTCTGATGGGTCAGTGGGCACACGCCGCCGGTGGTTGCCATGTGGTGGGTCAGAGCACACGTTTGCTTATGGTTGTGCAGCCTGCCTTTTGTTGGTGGCCTGCACCTCATGTACCCTGAACACATTCCATGTCACCAAGAGTCAGGGTACGGTTGGGGTGGAATAAAGACTGAGCGTATAAAATGAGTGGCAGAGGCACCCCACGGGACCTGGGGAACGTCCATGTGGCATTGATGCCATCATAAAAGACGAACAGGACTTGGCTGAGGCGGGGCCTTGCCCTGTGGTCCAGGTCTCTGGACTGAGGCGATGTGTCCAGGTCTTGGCGTCGTTCTCCGGGAGTGAGCTCCAAAGCACTGCCTCCTGCAGGGGCTTCGTGGTGAAACCCAGAGTTTTGAGCCTTAGCGACCGACGCTTTCTTCCTGCAGTCATGGCATCTACAGCTCGCTCTCTAGGTGTGCGAGACACATGAGTCACTCTCTCTCTGGAATGTTCTGCCCACAGGTTGCTGCCATTAACCCAAACCACCCACTGGCCCAGGTGCCCTTGCCTCCCTCGATGAAGAACTGTATCCAGCTGGCTGCATGCGAGGCTGCTGAGTTACTGCCGATGATTCCCGACCTCCCGGCTGACCTCTTCACGTCCTGCCTCACCACACCCATCAAGATTGCCCTGCGCTGGTGAGTGGTCCCCAGGTCCGAAGGGGTGATCCTGAGCCCCAGGGCTCTGCAGTGTTTACCCGGGGCATGGGCCACATCACAGAGCACCGGTGCCCTGGTTCCCTGTCACCTGGGCCCCCGCGATGCATGGGCCCCCACTCTGAGAGCTCTAAGGGCTGTAATCTGCTTCATTCGGTTCTGAGCAGCTGGTGACTTTGTGAATCCAAATGTCCACCCCCACCCCCCCAGTCTTGTTTTGTCAAATCACTCTGGGTAGCACGATGCCGTGCTGGAAATGGCACTGCCCTCTGCAGCCAGGCTGGGCCAGAGCGGGCAGTCGTCTCATTTCTTGCTCGAGCTGGTGTTTAGTCTTTCAGTTGATTCTTAGTAGTTAGCCATAAAACATCATGCCACCGCTGTTGCTGCTTTGTTTTGAAACCACCATTTTTACGGAGCTCAGCGCTCTCATGGATACAGCTGGGGAAATGACTATGCCATTCCAGGCCTGGGACCTGCAGTTGGAGCCTTCTGTCCCACGCAGAGCTCACGAGACGTGTCCCAGTCCTGCGCCCACATCCAATTTTCTTCCTCGGTCATCCTGCCACTTGGCCATGTCCTTAGCGTCGACTGTTCGTCCCTGTTCTGCTGTGGAGCTTGTGTACGGTTGCTGTTCTCTGGCCACTTGAGCATGTCTCTGGGGAGATGTAGGTGGACTGCCTGGTAGCACACATGGTTAAGTGCTTAGCTGTGGACCAGAAGCTGCACGGTTTGAACCCATCCTACAGCACCATGGGAAAAAGGCCTGGTGACCTGCTCCCAGAAGGCGTCAGCCTGGGAAGCAGCTGGCGTGCAGTGTGGCTGTGACGCTCACAGGGTTGCACTGAGTTGGAGTTGACTTGCCAGCAGCTGGGGAGGGGGAAGGGTCCGGGTGAGGCTGCTGCGGTGATGCCGCCCAGCCGGAGTCCTCCTGGTAGGACACTGTCTTGGCTGTGTACTGCTGCCATGACAAGTACCCAAGGGGATACTTTTGTGTGTGTGTGTGTGATTTCAGTGAAAGTTTACAGAGCAAATTCACTTTCCGTATAGTAGTTCACATACACTTTGTCTCATGACATTGACCACGATTCACCACAATGCTACAACTCCCCTCCCACTTCCACCCAACAGTCACCTCTTCCTCTTCCCTGTGTCCTTCCCTCCATGCACTCCTGATCCCTAAGCTGTCTCCCTGTGCATACACAGCCCTTCTTTCTCCCATGATTGTTCTCTCCAAAGAGTGTATCTACCTCAGGTACATGTTCAGCTCCTATGCCTGTCTTTTGTTTGGCTGGAAGCCGCAGGTGTGGGTTCAATTCCAGACCCGAAGGGCAGCTAGGGGCCATAGTCTCAGGGGTTCCACCAGGCTCTATCAGACCAACAAACCTGGTTCCCCTTTTTTTTCCCCCAAATGATTTTGAGTTTTGCTACATTGTTCTCCCTCTCTATCTAGGATCTCCTACATAGATCCCCCTCCAAGTGGATGACAGTGATAGCCAGGCACCATCTAGTTCTCATAGTCATATAGGCTGCAGATCGGATGGTGTACCAGTCACTAAGACTAATTGTTTCCATGAATCTTTGGTTTTCTTTGTTCTTCTTTGCTCTGGACGAGGAGAGACCCATCGTTGCATCTAGATGGCTGCTTGCAGGTTTTTAAGATCCCAGTTGCTACTTGCCACAGTAGGAGGTGGAGCAATGTTTTGTCTGGTATGTTGTGCCGATTGAGCTTAATGTCCACAAGGGGACACTTTAACAAACAGAAACTTATTTTCTCGCAGTTGAGGAGGCTGTTGTTGTTGTCTGCTGTTGAGTTGGACCCAACTTATAGCAACCCCTCCTTGGGTTTCTGAGGGGATATCACTATGGAAGTAGATTGGCCAACCTTTCTTCCAAGGAGTGGCTGGTGGATTTGAACTGCCGGCCTCCTGGTTCGCGGTCGAGTGCCTTAGGCACTACACCATGAGAGTTCCCTTTGAGGAGGCTAGCAGTCTGGATTTAGGGCTGTGGGGAGGGCTCTGTCTTGGTTGGCTCTGAGGTCTGTGTCCTCGGCTTGTTTCCTGCTTCTTTGGAGATCTCCGTGTGTCTTGACATCTGTCTCCCCACCTCTGCCGCTAGCCTGCTTGTTTCACCTCTGTCGTATCTTACAAGAGAGGGGGCTCCAGACACACCCTACACCAATCCTGCCTCTTTCACGTAACAGACCCCATTCCCAGCTGGGATTCTGACCATAGGCAGCAAGGCTGGATTCCCAGCACACATCCCATGGGACACCATTCCAGGGTCCCACCCAGGTGGCCTCGAAGACTCTCGGCTGCTGGCCCCCGTCCCTTGACAACAACACAGAGCGATGGGCCTAGGGACCACTGGCAGCAGCAAATGATCACCCCTTGGGGAGACTTCTCCAGTGACCATGGCCTGGGGCAGAGGTGGCCTGCAGTTGTCTTGAGCTGCTGCTGCTGTGGCTGACCCCTGAGACGCCAGGCACAATGCGATTCCTCGCCGTGCTCCACGGGTTTCCCGTTGGCTGATTTTCAGATCACCAGGCCTTTTCTCCTAGTCTCTCTCAGTCTGGAGGCTCTGCTGGAACTTGTGCAGCGTCCCAGCCACACACAGGCCTCCACTGACGGGCGGGTGGGGGCTGCGCATGAGACGCACTAGCTGGGACTCGAACCTGGATCTCCCATGTGGAAGGCGAGGAGTCTCCCCCCTGAGCCACCACTGCCCCCACCTCGAGCTGCTGGGCAAGAGCAGAGCGTGAACTTCCCTGCTCTGCCCGGTCGGTCCCGCGTGCCCGCGTGGGCTTCCCTGGTCCGCCCCGTTGGTCCTGTGTGCCCCTTCACCTCAGACCCTCTGCAGCAGCCTTCTAAATCTCCCAGCCTGCTGGGACACCGAGCCTGGCCTGAGGGGCCAGTGACGTTGTCTGAGTGAACAGCTCCCTCCCTGAGTCACTCTGCCCCAGTGCAGCGGTGCTGGAATCCAGGTGAGCTCTGGTGGCCAGAGGGGGAGTTCGAGTTCCAGGGTTTGCAGACCAGGAGGCTTTCTGGGGGAAGTGGGCGCTGAGCAATGGCAAGGCAGGAAGCGCCTCCCAAGGCAGGTCATCCGAGCAGGGCTGCTGTTGCTGGAATGCGGAAGGGGTGGGCAGAGCAGTGGATCGGCGTAACCGGGAAGGCTTGGCAAGAGCGCGGCGAGGGCGGGTGGACAGAGTGAGTGGGTCAGCGTCTTGGCAGGAATGTGGCGAGGGCGGGTGGGTTGGGGGCAGGCGGGTAACCGTGACCTTCTCTCCTGGCCAGGAGACCCTCTGAGGTGTTTAAGTAGGAAGATGACTGAATGCAAGTGGTGTTTTCCGAAACTAACCCAGGTCATGATGGGCAGGCAGTGGCCTTAATTCGGCCGATATTGCAGCAGTCATTCACGATCTGGTGAAGGACAAGCTCCCCCAACCGGGGCCCGGATTTCTCCCCCTCCCCGCCACTCCCTCCCGCCTGTCCTGTAACTGCACAGGGCTCTAGAGTGGACACAGGACGCCTGCGCTGCCCACGCCCCAGGGCACCGACAGGACTCCAGGTGGGGCGCGGAGGGGAGGGGCGGGAGCGGGAAGAGGAAGATGCACAGGGCCTGTAATGAAGGCTGTGCCCCCCACACACACCGCCACTCCTGTGACCACTCCCGTGACCCGCTGCAGACCAGGGTCCAGGAGCCTGTCCCAGTCCATGAAGCCAGCAGCCCTTGTCAGTGCTCTGCCAGCCCGGCCTTCTCCCCTGTGCCCTCCACTCTCCCTACCTTGGAGCTGCCTGGAGCCCTTCCTGCAGTTAGGCTCTGGTTCAGCATTTAATAGGAAGGGCAGAGGAAAACGATCGAAACTAATGCAGTTACCAGAACACGGGCTTTGAAAGCAGTGTGTCTCAGCTGCAGATGGAGGCCACCAACTCAGCACAGCCCCCAGCCTGGCTCAGCCAGCACCGCACGCTCTGCCCCAGGCGGGGAGCTTTCTCAGTGAACCGCTTTACGCCGTGTTGAGTGGCTGGAATTTGATGGTGTGTAGCATTTCCTCAGAAGGAAGGCTGGGCAGTCTACTTCCATAGTCACACTGCCTTGGAAACCCAAGGAGGGGTTGCTGTGACTTGGGGCCATCTCGATGGCACATCACAACAGCAGCATTTTGCTATGTGTCATCAGCCTGGAATGGCACAACTGTACTCATGGAAGGAATCACCCAGTGGCGCCTCCCTACACCGTCACAGCCACCAACTTTTTAGAAAGGGAAGGAGACAGTTTGTCCGGTGGTACTTGGGTCTTTAGGGTTAAAATTGTACTTTTCATTTGAACTGTAACTGTGACATACATTCTTTGTGGAAAGTTCCCTCTGATGTCACCATCTGGCATAGCTGGTGGTGACCCTGGTGGCTGCTTTCCACCCTTTTCTTGCTATGTGTGTATGTTTTTGTGTTGATGGAAGTACACTGAGTTTACAATCTCACACACTTAAACCTTCACGTTATAACAAGTGATCGAGGCTCTGCGAAGGTAAACATCGTTTGCAACAGCTCCACAGTTTTTCACTGCAGTAACATTCTGTGTTTTATTTAGCCAGAGTTTTGTGCTTCAGGACCATGACTCAGAAGGGCCCTGTGCTGGTGGTCAGAGTCGCTCTAGGGTGTTGTCGGTTGCTGTCAAATCCTTCCTGACTCCTTGTGACCACGTGACAGAGCGGAACTGCCCCATGAGGTCTCCTAGGCTGGGCTCCTTACAGAAGCACGTCACCAGGACTGGCTCCACTGGGCAGCCTCAAACCGCCAGCCTCTCAGGTAGCAGCCAAGTGCTTAATCGGTCACTGCCAGCACCAGAACCTGAGTCAGCAGATGTTTTCTGTAAGAAGCCAGGGAATCAGTCTCCGTTCTACCAGTGTGGCTCAAAACCAGCCAGCGGCAACATGTGAATGAGTAACTGTGGTTGTTTTGGGATGAAACTTTATTTAGGAGAAC